TTCTCTCGACCATGACTGCTAGATTGTTATCGACAACCATGTTATTTCGACGAACCTGCTGGACTACATTGTTCGCGTCTTGGTTCCGATTCACAACCAACACTCCTGGGTCTCTTTCTCCCAAGACACGGGGCTGATTTCGTAATGGCTCTTCCCTAAGCACTTCGACTACAGGAGGGGCCATCCTTCCTTGGTTTCCTACGTTGATTTCTGCCATATTTCCCAAGTTTTCTCGTGGGATATCTGCTACTGCATCCTGATTTCTGGCTAGGGGGTACCCCATGAATTCAGCCAATCTTGTCAGTTGTACTGCCAATTGTTGATTGGTCTGAGTTGTATTTTGGATTAATGGTTGAAAAATTTCACCCATGGTTTGTGACAAGGTCTGAACCATTTGTAGGTTACTTTCGTCCATCTGCTGTCTCAAACAAGCAACTGAGGTGTTGGTCAAATTGGGGCCTTGGGTCGAATACCCTAAGCTCGGGCTTTGGGGATTTCAACCCATGTTCACGCCTGACCCTGACCCCTGTAATGGCGAAGCAATTGTCTGATCTGAGAATATGGGGGGGGGGGGTGCACTTTGGATCCGCTGCATCATAGCGGTGGGCATCCCATATGGGGGATTTTGTGGTGACTGTGAAAAACCAGGGGGACCGAACTGCCTGGAAGTCGAACTTCCCCCTAATAAAATCTAAGGATTCGACGTTTGATGGCCAATATATTCCAACACTGGTTGAGTATAAGGTCTTATCACCGTCGATCCAGCCCCAAGTACGGAGGGCGTCGGGACTGGCCTCACAGGAAGCACTGTTTGTTCCCCAGTCGAAGGTATCGGAGGGGGAACTCCCTCGTTTCTTATTCCCTCACTGGAACCGTCTCCCTGACGGTTGGGGTTATCTGGCTGGTTCGTACCCGTAGCCATGTTCTTGATGTTTCCTCTTGGTCGTCTTTCTTCGTTTACAGCAGTAACTTTACCACTTCTCAGTAACATAAAATGTACTTCCCACGAAAAGGACCAATACGACTGCAAATTTTTTGTAAATTTAGTTTTGTAAAAAAAAACAAACTTTTTAGCACTGTCCCATTGGGCGTGCCATTTTGTTTCCCTTGAAAATCGGAAAACTACCGCTGATCTTCCAAATCTAACTTTGGTGACTCACATGATCGATCAGATTGATCCTAGGGCATGTGCTAAAGGCTTTTGTTTTTGGAAATCTATCTAAGTTTCACACTTAAGAAATTTTGGGGTAAAGGAATCTTAAAGAGACATCTATTCGACTACGGAATAACTTAAAAGATAAAATAAAGCTTTCAATAAAAGAAAGAAAGAAATCTGTTTGGAGAAGGGAAATTGGGTTAAGGGCGAAGAGAAAGGAATTGCATAAAAAGAGAAGGAAGAGAGAAGGTAAGGAAGAAGCGTGCAAAGAAAGTAAAAGACTTTGTAAAATTTAAAGCAAGTAAAGTAAATTTCATTAAGATAAAAGATGGTGTGTTTACATCACGTACATTCTCTATAATACTCACTTTCTCTACGCTCGAATACTTGGAGTAATTCTAAGAGTAATTTGTACAATGGTAAATTACAACACACTTTGCTTATGTCTAAGACATCCTATTTATAGTAGTAAAAAATAACTTCTAATAACCTCCAACATCACCTCCTTTCGCCACTTGTCACAATGCATGGATCTACTGCTCATAAGGTGCCACGTGTCTTCTTAAGTATTTGGCAAACAAAACCGTTCCCTCCAAAACTTTCGAATTTCAAACCTTTCGACGAACCATCCACAACAGCAAGCGGTCGAACTCCTAGCTTCTGGGTGAGTTCTTCGACTCCTTCTTTTAGCTGCTTTACACCTTTCGACCAACTTTCGTTCTCACCTTGTTCTTGGCATTTTCATCTGGAATTCCTTTCTTCTGCACGTGGCGTCGAATTTAGGAGCTAACAATGTCTCCCTCTCTTGTGGTCCTAGAGCATTAGTCTCATTGGTGCTCCAGACTCTCCGGACTCCCCAACAGTGGTATCAAAGCCGTGATTTGGCTTTGTGGGGGAGCGAGAGCTGGATTTGGTGGTTGATCCTGTTATAGGATGTGGGGACTTACACTTGTGGGGGGAGAATGTTGGGTGCAAATGTGAGTGGTTTAAGTGCCTATGAATGAGTGGAATGTTGGATTTATAAGAGAGAGAACTCATTTACCTAACACCTTAAGATTTTGGGTTGAGATGTGATGTCTCCCTCTCTTGTGGTCCTGGAGCATTAGTCTCATTGGTGCTCCCGACTCTCCTGGACTCCCTCACACATTATATCCGTATAACTATAAATTTTTAAAAAAATATCTTAATATTTATATTGTCTTACTAAAAAATAACACATTGATTTTTGTCATTCACTAAATTTTACCTTTATTCTATTCGATCTTTCTGTTTTGAATCTTATACATTAATATAATCAACATTATTTTCTCGTATTCTATTAGTTTATCTTATGTTATATTCGAGTATTATTTTATATAATTCAGATATGTGTTATATTTAAAAACACATTATAATATTTATAAAAGATAATATAGTACTTAAAAAATGTTTTATGATTAAATAATATAATTTTTAATTTCATTTATAATAAATATTATAAACTATTTATTAAAAAAAAATTTTAGGTTCGGATAGCCCGAAGTCCATCTAGAACCGGATTCGAGTAGTAACTTTTGAACTTATTCTCTCAATTTCTATTTATAAATAAATTTTAACATTTTAAATTCATTAAATAATTAATGCATCTAACTTATATATAATTCAAATACATTATTTTTTTTAAATAAATCTAAAAAGTAAAAAATTTATAAAAGAGAATGAAGAGAATATATTACAACATAAATTTTTTAACTCAACTCTAAAAATCTAAAATCCCTCCTAATCAATTCATTTAAAACTGGATAGACCATTTTAACTGCTCTAGATACCACAGTCATCTATCACCAATTAATATCTTATTGTTTTCTCTTGCTTTTTCAAACAAAAAACCTATTCTTTTCTCTATTGTGTTCCTCCTTTTCACTATCTTCCACCATCGTTTGCACCACATTAATTCATCGAATAAGAAAGTTTCCTAATACTCTTGCTTAACAAGTAAACTTTAACATCCACCATAAATAGGCTGACAAATGGATGAATCATGAAAGGTGGTGGAAATACCTTATGGGTAGTAAAAGCCAATTCAATAAGTGAAATGCATTTATGTTCCTACCAAATACTACCGACGCATGTTATTGATAGACCAAAATTCTTGGTGGAGAAATACAAATACTATATGAATAAGATATTAATATTCATAGGTCTACATAGAGAATGGGATTATTTAAATCTAAAACAAATATAGTTGCAGCTGCTATGCAGTCGTATATTATTTTTTTTAGTATTTATAATTTACGTTTTTATATTTTTTTTTATCACAAAACAAAACAAAAAAAATACATTTTTAATATTTGATTAACTTGGAAACCTCAAGAAGTATAAAAGCACACACAATCAACCAAAATAATAATAAAAATGAGAAATTAATGCAGATAGAAATTAAGAATCACAATTTGATCCATTTCTAAGAGATATTTGTAAATTATCTATAATGAATAGAGTAAAAATTCATCGGTTCAAAAAATTACTATAAAAAATAAGTGGATACGAATGCAGATATGAATTCCTTGATACTCACTCTACCCCATACCAACACAATATATATATATATATATATATATATATATATATATATATATATATATATATATATATATATATATATATATATATATATATATATATATATATATATATATATATATATATATATATATATATATATATATATATATATATATATATATATATATATATATATATATATATATATATATATATATATATATATATATATATATATATATATATATATAAACTTATATTATTTTATATTATTATGTAAGAATTATTAATTTTAAAAAATATATCAATATTAAACCATTACGTATTTAATGTAACTGTTTTTTTATTTCAACAATAAATTTTTTAAATATTTTTAATCATTTAAAATTATATGATATTTAGTAATTCATCTATTTATTTTTAATATAAATGTTGGTAACGTGTACGGATATAGGTACTAACATACCCTAAAACGGATATAAACTCGAGTATGGAGATTTTTTTAAATCGCGGATATAAGAACAAGTACTATAGTACTCTATCCAAATCCTACTTATTATCATCTATAATATAAACTTTGATTAATATTCTTTCATTTTATTTATAAAAAAAAATCATTATTTAAATTTGTTGAATAAATAACCTATCTGAATAAAATATAAATCTGATACGTTAATTACTTAATCTTATAAATATAAATAGGATCGTCCCATATTAAAAAATTATTTTAAAAAAGAATCAAACGTAGTGAGATGAACTTTTTGTTATAGTGAATTAAAGATAGTCAAATTTATATATGTTTTATTAGACATACTTAGTTTAACTACACAAACATTTATTTTATTTAATATTTGTAATTTATGTTTGTAATTTTATTTTTTTTGTTACCGACAAATTTAGAAAAAACATTTCCAAAATTTAGTTGACCTAAAAACACCAATAAATATAAAATTACATAAACATAATTAACCAAAATAATGATAAGAAAGATAAAAAGGAAAGTTAAGATGCCAATAGAAAAAAAATTATCTTACCTTAAAAAACCTTAAAAAAATAACTTGTCCATTTACTCAAACTACCAATTCTGCATTTTTCTACTATAAAAGTAAAAAAAAATATTAAAAAAAAAAAATAAAAAAAAAACCTCGTGTTCCTAAATTTATTGATTCAAATTAACATAAACATAGTTGTTAGAACACTTAATTACCTTAATCAACTACATGCAATAATAATAACAATAACATAAACATAGTTGTTAGAACTTTAACTCTATGAGCTAAATACTCAAATCAAAGGACAATTAATTTCTCATTTCAAACACAAACAAATTAAACACCCTTTCATGATGTGGAGAGCTTACAAAACTAAGAATACTAAGAAAAAAATGTTCATTACAAGGAATACAAAGTTTAGAATCAGCAATGAAATCATATTCTTCTCGAGCTTGATCCAACAAAGCTTTAAAAAGTGGATGATTAAGCAACACAACCTTGATGACAAATCTCTTACAATTCTCTCCCACATAAACAACCAAGTGACCTTTTGGAACATCCTTGGGAATAGAAGACGATAATCTAAACCAATAGTTACAAGGTGTTGCCAAAAAATGATTCCTCATTTTCTTCCATTTCTTTACACATCCTTTTAGAAACTTGCACTTCATTGTACTTTGAGAGAGAGAAAGAGAGAGAGAGTACAAGTACATGGAGTACTTTGAAAAATATAAAAGGTTTATATATAATTGAGGTACGGGTTTGTACCAAATTTGGAACATTTAATGGTTGACATGGTTCTTTGCTTTTTGCAATAAAAAAAAATGATATTATAGGATAATATCAATGTCCAATGTACATTGCACCTTGAAACTAATGTTCGAATAAGTATGTCTTTTTCTATATGCGTATTTTTGTAATAATATTATACGAATATATACTCTAAAGACACTTCTCAAAACAATTTCTTCTATTTATTAAAAGATATATGAATTTTTGACTAAATTTCATAGAAAATTTAATTAGAAGAAAATAGTGTGTTAGGATGTGTAACTTTTATTTTAATATGAGTTGGTCACTAGACTAATAATATGTTTTGTTCCTTTCACTTTGGTTTAAAGTGACCTTTAGGTTGGGGACATTTCTCATAATTATTTTTAAATTTTATGACTAATAATTATTCCTACAATTCTCACATAAAAGTTGTATTCTAACTATATATATATATATATATATATATATATATATATATATATATATATATATATATATATATATATATATATATATATATATATATATATATATATATATATATATATATATTATTTGTTTTCTAAATTTAACGAATTTTTTTTGTTATATCAAAGATCTTTTTGCATAACAAAACAATGAACTTTTATTTGCAATTGGTGTCAATGAAACAATTAATTTTCACAAGAAGATTATATGTATTAAATTAAAATTATTTTCGAATGAATTACTATTTACTTAAAAAATATGCCTGACATTTTAAAAATCAATCAAATATTGGCAATAAAATAAATTTAAAATATGAAATAAGTTATTGGACGAAAAAAGGAAAAATAATCTTTATCATAAAATATATATTTTTTTTAATCTTATCCAAATTTAATATATTTAATGAAACATAACTTTGTTGAATATTAGATTCATTGATCAAGTGTTTACAAGTGATCTAGTATAGAATTTATACTGGTGTCACCAGTTGATACTCCTAAGCTTATATCAATTCCATTGCTAGCTTAAACCAAACATATACATTGCTAGCATAAGGCACACATACACAACTATAGTTCTACTATTCTAATACTCTCTCGCAACCTCAAGGAGGGATGAAGGTGCTACTTTGAACATGGTTCGAAGCTCATTAAATGATGTAGTTCCAAGAGGCTTTATGAGGGTACCATGAATTTGAAGAGTGCTTGAATTTCTCATGATTACTAGAGTTAGCAAGTTTTTAATATATTTGAATTTTGTGAGTATAATGGAGTTATTATTCTGCGTTTTAACTTCTATCCCTAAGATGTATTCAGGGTTGTCTAACTTTTTCAGTGCAAATGTGACATGAAAAGAGTTAATAAGCTTGGAACTAAATTTGATGAGAATCAATAATGACTATGTCATCTACATACATTAGTGCATAAAGAGTTATTCTTTTGAGAGACTAGAAAAATAATGAATAATCACACATGCTACGAGAAAAATAAAATTGAATGAGGGTTTGAGGAAAGTTTCTCATACCATGCTCTTGGGCATGCTTCAGTCCATATAGTTCTTTATTCAACATGCATACTAGTGTTTGATCACGATGAACAATTATAATCGGAGAGATCCATTGAGAAACTCATTATTTATGCCCACCTATTAAATTTCCACTTGTACGTAAAAGCTAAGGTAACAATAACTCTCATAGTAGTTGGTTTTAATCTTGAGAAAAAAATTTCATTGAAGTCAGAGCCAAATTGTTGGTGGTATCCTTTGTTCACAAACCTTGCTTTGTACTTGTTGACAATCCCATATGGATTTTTCTTCACTTTTTACACGCATTTGCATCCAATTACTTTTCTGTAACGTGGAAAATTAGTAAACGTTAAGGTTTGGTTTATTATAAGTTCATTATGAAGGTGTGAAAAATACACAAGAAGGGGAGATTAAATTGTGTTTCGCGTTTTCTTTAATTTAACTTCTGATCAAAGTTTCAAAATCAGAACTGGTGTTCAAATTCTATTTTAATCTATTCGCAGCGGATATAACAGAAGTAAACAAATAACTGCAAAAGACACAAAAGATTTATCTTGGTTCCTCCCTTAACTAAGAGTACTCCAGTTTCCTTGTCTCACAAGATATTCTCATTATAACCACTTCATGATTACAATCGATTATGCTTCTGCACAAGTCTTTTACACTTGCTCAGACCAACTGTCTGAGACTTTCTTACTTAGAGCACATGTCTAAGACTTCTGCTCACATCATCTGACTAATCCACTTGCTCTTCTGGCCATCCAGACTGAGACTTCCTTGCTCTCATCTTCTGACCGAGCCACCTGCTCTTTTGGTCATCCATACTTAGACTTTCTTGATCAAGCAACACTTGAGACTTCATGCTCACTCCTATCAGACAGAGACTTTCCCTTTGCTCAATCAGCCTAGCCGGATAAAACTTTCACAGCTCAAACACTTAAGCAATGAGAATTATGTGGCTTAAGCATCTGGGCTCAAGACTTATGCTCAATCAGTCTTGCTGATTAAGACTCTTACAACTCAAGCACATATCAGGAGACTTATGTAGCTCAAGCATCTTGGCTTAAGACTTGTTGCTTGAATCCCAACGAGAAAAGATTTTTGCTCAAGCAAATAGCAAGATACTTTGATCTAAACTACTGAATAGGTCTAGCAGGATAGAGAACAAGGTGTACATGATACAAGTATCAGAGGTACGAGAAATTACCATAACAAAGACCTAAAGCACTTAAGATTTCTAAGATATACAATGTTTAATAAATCTTAAGCCTTTTACAGTTACAACCTACAAATAAAAAATCTGCATATTATAATAGATTTGATAATTGCTTGATCTTGCTACTTCTTCTTTTAGAAAATCCTTGTTCTTTTATTTTTCAGTAAGAACCTTCAGTCATATTTTATAGCCTTTTTAGAAAACTAACCGTTGAGGAAGTAACTTGATAAAATGTTTGTCTTTACCCCCTAGTACAAGAGACGTTGAAGATGGATGTACAAGAGATTTTGAATCTAGTGTGTAACACGTTTAATCTTTGAGTCTTCAATAGATTCTCGTACTGATAGAGCCGTTAGAAGTAGTCATCCATAAATCATGTCAGCTTTTCTTGAGCCTTTCGATCTGTAGACTCTGACTGACAAACTAATAAGACAGTACAATTTGCTTTCTGTAGTACAGACGACTTCTACTTTATCACCAATTCTGAGTGATACCAGATTCTGATATAAAATTTTCAAGTATAGTGACTCGTCTAAATACTAGACCTTCAGCACCAGAATCTGCGCCAAGCCACACCAACAAACGTTCTTCAGATTATGCCACCAGAAGCTAGCAATAAAGCAACTCCCAAGTGTGTCTAAGTAAAACAGATTATTATTATTTATGTACAAGAACAAGATGCTGCATAAATAAAACACACATCAAATAAACCGTTGTTCTTCCAATACTTTTGTTATCATCAAAACTAAAAGAGAATACTTCACGAACAAATCTTGTCCTAACAATCTCCCCCTTTTTGATGATGAAAAACACAAGTGGCGCTGCAAACACAAGGCCTTTAATTCAACAGTTTGGTCTTATATATAACAATTACTTTGGCCTTATTTATGTGTATTCATCACTTTGCCCATAACCATTTTAATACACATAAACCTGCTTAAATATATTACAACATCACAAAATACATTTAATTTACAACATCACAAATACATTCAATTTACATATAATTACAAATCCGATAACTTTACAAATAAATACGTTATACAATTCTCAACTCAAGAATAAATTGACACCAGTCCTCCTTAATTTCTTCCAATCTTGCTTTCGAGTAAGTACCGCACTTGTATTCATCAAAGTACTACATAATATAACAGAAAATGCACTATTTAATTTTAAAACTAATTACTCAGATGAAATATCGGTTAATTATCAAAATGAATCATATAACTTATGAATTGATCCATACCATGATTTGAATCTCTATTTGACCTGAAAGAATAATTTCCTTCATAAAGCGCAATACAAAATATCCGCAGTCAATCCCATTGCGCTGACGAGGACACTGTAAATGGAAAAAACAAACAAACATTTATCAGTATATATAGTTTAAATAGTTTTATCAAGTAGAACCACTATAATAGTCAAACATGGGAAAATATACCTCCACTCTGATCCAGCTGATGTTGTTAGCCTTCCTTTTTGGCATTGTTGCATCTCTTTGTGCTCTGAATATTTGTATAACTCTAACATAATATAAAAGCATATTTAGAACAATGTCACATAATAAATAAAGATATATAACTATTCAGAACAGTATATCTCATCACTTACGTATCAACCATGTTCTTCAGATCAGGATATTTTGTTGTATCGTCATCCAATGAATCTATATAATACACTATTTCTTTCATCGGATTAATCGCGAGCAACAACCAGTGTCCACTAATAAATAAGACAACAGTTTAGACGGAAATGTTATATAGATTAATGGCAAAAATAGAATAATTATAATAAATGAATTTAGAATAAAATCTAACTCATGGCCAGTATTATATGGCAACAAGAACAACTTCTCTGTAGTCGCGGCCATAAATCTTTGGACCATGTAATCTTTGACAGTATCTGGTGTGTGCTCTATTTCCCGTGCATTGATACAACTAGCAGATAAGAATGTGAATATGGAAGTCAAATCATGCGGGACCAACAACTTGTGATACAGGAGCCTAAAAGAAAAACATAATCAACATTAGAATATTCAGTTAAATGAGCAAATTTTAAAATGTTCAATTATTTAATTAAAATGGATCGGAGTACCTGATGTAGGAATGCATAACACCGACGCCCAATTCAGAATGTTGGAAAACTTGGTCAAAATCCTCCTTAGCAAGTGTTTCGAGATATTCAAAACCG